CCCCGTCGCTCCTCCTCCGACACACGCCTCTCTCCAAAAAAAAAGCGCCTTCAAATACTTGAAAAATGTTAGTGGGTGAGGGGTGATCCGGAAGCGGAGAAGAAGTGTCCGTGGAACAAAATGGCTTACCACGGGGCGGCGCGCGCCGGGCACCTCCACATCCTTCGGTGGCTGAGGATGCCGCGGGAGGGTCCGGACGGTGCGACGTTCATGTGCCCGTGGGACGAAGACGTGACCAAGTGGGCGGTTGTCGGGGGCCACCTGGACGTGCTCAAGTGGGCCTTGGCGAACGGGTGCCGGATGAAGCACGACCTCGTGGCGGAGGCGGCCGTGGCAGGCCACGTCCACGTGACGAGGTGGCTGCTGAGGGGCTCGGAGGAGGAGTCGGAGAAGAAGCTGAGCTCGTGAGCCACCCGCCGGCGGAGAGGGCGTAAGCGACGACTCGAAGGAAGACGCCGTATGTGCAACACCCCGAGAGCAGATCGAACCACCTGAGAACGATGCGTTTTGCCCGAGGTGATGCACCGCAACAACGGCTTTCTATGTGTGTCGGGGTTCAAGAACGAAGCTGCTTCGGTTGTGCCCCACGGCAGTATCGCTCCCCAAATGTGAACCTAGCGGCCGTCGTCCCTTGTCAACGCTGTGGCTCTCGGTTCTCCGTTCTTTTTTTGCCAAAAACGGTGTGTCGAGAAAGAAGCTCACAGCGACATCCGTCGACGGTTATCTATCGGGCTGGTGGCCGGTGTGGGGGTGAAATTTCTGGCACGTGCAGACTATTCAGGATGTGTTGTGCTTTTGGGTGGGTGCCCACTATGGCGGGGTGAGTGGGCCTGGCACGTACCCGCCTTACCGAGGGGGGGGGGGGTAAGACAGGGAGAGGAATACATAATTGCAGGAGGGTCCACCACTTCGTGAAGTACCTAAGGAGACAAACGCTTCAGGCTAGAAAAAATAGACACATTCAAGAAGTTGTTGCTATTGCAAGGATCCTATAATAGCACAACCCTGCATAGTAGATGTGTTGGCCTACCTCACTAAGGGAAAAAATAGACAAACGGACTTGGGGCAAAATGAGAGAATATGGCGGGGTGGCGCATTCTGTAACATTTGGCGGTGATAAGGTGAGAGCCGTATCACAGGCCTCATTGGAGACTGTGCTGTAGGTGTTCGACTATTGTCGTTTGCAATGTTGATTGTATCATGGAGTGCGTTGAAGCGTGCGAGTGCGCGGAGGCCAGGGTTGAAACGACGGAAAAGCTCGACAAAAGGGCGGGACAAGCTCACTTAATGACGAGGCCGGTTCCTTGTGCCGTTGTTTGTTCCAGGGTCGGGTCAAGTCTCCCGCGAATATCTCCCTACATCAGGTGTCCTGTTAGGCTTGCGTCTGACCACGGTTGACACGAAAAGCTACACATGTTCCTGGAGATGGAGATAGGGGAGAGCGCAGATGCGGGTGATGGAAAAATAAATGTTGTGTCGCGTTCTCGATTTGGTGCTGCTTGACTACCCCCCCCTGTCTGTGTGTTGATTGATCGATCTCGCGAGGGCCGACAAAACATCGATCGCAGGACCGGCAGCGGAGAGGAAGGAGGCCGGGCGCACGCGTGCATTGTGACGTACGGGTGCATGCTCGCGTGTGTCATACCCGTGCGTTAACAAGTCTGCCTTGGTGTGGAGTGTGCGTGCAATGCTTGTTTGCCTTTGGGCGGGGTGGAGCGGAGCGTGTGCATCTTGACAATGAATGAAGGCGTTTCTGTGGGCTGACTGTTCGCGTTTGCGTGGGTGATTTTTTTGCGTGTCTGCTGCGCTCTTTTCGTTTGAGAGGGGGAGCTGGTTTGCCTTGAGCGTTTGCGCGCGTGCGTTGTTCGAGAAGGTGCTGTAAAATATGTGCTGATGCACCCGGTCTCGCGATCACGCATCATTGTAGATCTGAGAATTGTGCGTTTCGATGGGAATGCCGGGGGAGGGGCGCCTCGATTTTGTGTCGACCCAAACCTAACTAACACCTTACCCGAACACCTGGAGAGGGGAGCCGAAGAACCGATCTTGGTGCCGGACGAAGCCTTTGCAGGCACCGACGACTTGGTGAGCTAGGCGCCCTCCGCAATGGCATCATGTGAGCAGGGTTGGTTTTAAGAGTTTCATCTGAGCAGACGGTCGGCGGAGAAACCATGGCAGTAAACGTTGCACAATTCCCCGGAGGGGCGGAGGGAGGGAGGGGATGAGGGCGACGGGGAAACGGTTGCAATAGACTTCGCAGGATTTTGTACTCAGGAAACATATTGGAAAAAGCATATAATCGGGGAAGTTGGGTTAAGTGGGAGCCCCTTGTCATCAAGCAAGGTGGACAGCTAGCTGTCACGCAGCGTATGTTAGACGTACTCACAGCATCGACAGATTATTGCAAGCAAGAAATTTCCGAGCAGATGGAGCGGGGAGTTTGGGGGTTCAGCAGTTGCTTTGGATTCGATTTGATGGTACCAACTTTGCCGTATATTACAGGATTGAGGGTGGGGGTATGTGTGTGTCTACAACGGATATGGTGATTGTGCGTTGTGGTTTCTCACTTGTTTTATGTTTCCTCTTGTTTTTCTCCTTCCTGTGTGCAATCAAGTCCTTTTTCCCCGGCTATCACGCTACCACGGCTATCACGCCACGACTTCCACGCCAATCCTGGCTATCACGCCACCCGGCTATCACGCCTTCCGGACATCCACGTCCTTACTTGTACATATACACCACGACTATCACGACACCAGGCTTCCACCCCACTTCCAGAGATACCATACCCGAGCTATCACGCTCCATCCCAAAGTAGAAGGCTGTCACGCCCATCATAGTTCCTACACTGTACCGTTGGCGGCTACGCGCCGCTGGCTCTTATATTTCCCGACCAAGGGACCCCGCGCGCCAAGGCACCGACGCACAGAGCTACTCAACAGCGTACCACGAACAAACAACAGCACCTGCGGACAGGGGAAGTTCGTGGGAGTACTGTTGACCAACCGCCAATCACATGAAGCCGCTTAAATCTGAAAGTTTTCACCTGCACGAAGTTTCCACGAAACTTTCTCATCTCAGAATCTGCTTCCTTCAACCGGCAATAGTGGAACCCCAGTCCGAAACTGTGGATTACTGCTGTTGTTTTCGTTCTTCCGATCTCTCTCTACCCAGTACCTTCGTATGTCCGCACTGATCCAGCACTCGACGTGGTCGAATCCCGTTCGTCACAGGTTAACTTAACCAAAAAAGGTACACTCAAATAACTGTGCCGCGAGGGGTCCGCGAGTCAACAGAAATCAACGACAGACTCCCTCTGCGCGCTGTGCGAGGAAACAACTGAGACTAGGAGTCACCATCACGGGTCCGAGAGCAAGAGGTATAACCCCTTGGTTCAATCATGGTACGTCACAACGGAAGCAGAGACAAGGCCATCTGGCACAGAAAAAGAGAGAAAAAGAAACAACAGGAGAAAACAGCGAAAAAGAGAAAAATAAAAGGAAACAGTAACAGGAAAGAGAAAAATAATGGAAGAGATCGAGGACAAAACGGGACCAGGCCCCCGGTCGCCCCGGTGGCCTATTAATAGTGGTATCTTCGTAAACCGCTAGTCGCAGAGATCGTGAGTGAGTTCGAATCCCTATGTACGAGGTGAAAAGTTTGCAAACTTCGCGGGTGAAAGCGAAACAAAGCTGGAAAGCTCTCGAGTACCAAACTTCGACGTTAGCACCGTTGACGAGGGAAAGAAAGAGACACCTGGACCCTTCCCGCGATAAAATAAATTCAGCACGCACCGCAGGAGGAAGGTGGGGCATGGAAATATATAAAATGAAGAAAAAAGCCCTGGTGTTTACCCCCTCCTGTATGACCCTGGATGGTTGTAGTTGTACGAAAATACACTGAAAAGTGTAATACTCTACTTGTACATACTTACGCGGAAAAAGTGTAGTACACGTCTCACCACGAAAAATGGGGGGACTGTCGCCATTATAAATAGGACGAAAACACACACACACACACACACATAAGACTGACGTCTTTTCATTGGTCAGCCGGTTAGCGCGGTCGATGCTAATAATAAAAACACACACAGTTGAGCAATGTCTACCCCGGCTTGCCCAGCTACCGACAGGATTAGCTCTGATTGACTCACTCAAGAAGCATCACCAAAGACAAGCTTGAAAAAGCTGTTGGGCAGTCATAGGCTAAACTTACCACAAGCGATGAGTTAACCCCCGCCCTCAAAGGAGGGTACCTGTTGAAAGCAGGGAAGGCAGGAAAACCCAGTGAAGGTGGAAACCCTAACGTAGAACATCAACCACCGTCTACCTACAACCGAAGTAATTTTGGTCAACACTACCAAGTCATTGGAGCACAAGCTCTCCTTTCGAAACCATTTCATTCAATCAGCAGTGCGTCACATGGTGGAGACAGACTTGCAGAAGGTAGCAGGCGAGGAAATGTCAAAGAAGAGAGCATTGACCCCCTTGGAGGAGGCAAAATGCAAGGGAGTTTTGTCGTGGTTGACAACGCAAGGGCTGTCAGCAGATGAAAGAATACTGCCTGATCTATATCGAGAGTCAATCGGTCGTGTACTGGGGAGTCACCATCAAGCAGACTGCGACACAGGCAAAATTTGTGGTGCAGACACATTGTTACCATGCAAGGACCGCTTGAGCCGAGCCCACTCCCTCGTCTGCACCAAGACCGGCGCCTCAACCTTCCTCCATAACAGGATGGTTCGCGTAATCCTCAAGACACTGCGTGAGTGCCATATGCCCATCGCCGTTGAGGATTCTGTCCCTTTTACCACAGGCACTGGTAGGGGAAAGGGGCTATACAAGATGGATTTGGTGATCCGCCCAGGATTCTACACGCAGGAGACAAGGACGTGGAACTCTGCACCAAGTCTATTCTTACAGACGTAACAATCGTCAACCCATCCGCAGGTCGAAGCATCGACAAGTCGATGTAAAAGCCAGGATCCGCCCTCGAAGATCGAGCCGCAAGGAAGGAAAATCACCATGCGGGAACTTCAACCCGTCTAGATCTACCCTCCTTTACTGCTGCTTTTTCAACAAATGGTGGTCTCGGCAAAGGCACCAATCGACTCATCATCGTTGCTATCGCCAACCACTTGGCGAACGAATTTTTTTGCCGGGGGATTTTGTCGACGAAAGAGCGTTAGTCCGCCTGAAAGCTTGTCATACTTACAGGATTCGGAGACGGTTTACTTTCGAGCTATATAGCTCGTTTTCTGTCGATGCGAATGTTGGTATTTCCGTACTTGGGAGGAGAAGACACGCTTTAACTCTCTCTGATTAGGCACCCGCGGGAGCGAGGAAAGGAAGGGAAGAAGTGGCCCTCCCGAATGCGGGGAAGGGGGCCCANAAACTCAAAACATAAAAGAAACCGTCGCTATCACGAAGGATTCCAACGACCGCACTATCAGGGCAGGACCAAGGCAGGACAGATTGGACAGGCCACGCTGATTAGTCTACACACCGGAAGCAATTGGTCAAAAACCCTAAGCTCCCGCCGCGGGTGACGCCCCTGCCCAACGCTTCCTGCGTGACATACCATCGTCCGAGGTGCGCCCAGTGCTAGAACAAATCAAAACAAACGCCACGAAAACGAGACCAGAACCCTACATCGGCAGGTTCATCAGAGC